GAATTTTCAGATGCTGGCACAAGTAGGTTTCTACTGCCGCTAAAGGAACAACTGTCAGAAAAACCAAATTTCCAACCCCTAAATCCCAGAGAAGAAAGTTACTTGTGGTTTGCCAGATCAGCCCACACATGGGCTATAAATCATATCACAGAATATATCCTCTATGCATTCCACAGAAAGAGACCACTCCAAGGCATCTGTAAACACTATGCAGACAGATACTGAATGACAAACTGCAATTAAAGAAATGAAAGGCATTGGTGAATAAAGAAATAATTAAACAATGAAGTTATATAAGGTAGTAAAATGAGAAAACAGAAGATAGATTTACAAGCTACAGCTCAGCAAGTGCTGAAATTGTTGGCAAAGGAAGAGACCTCAAAATATCATTATGCATCTCCAAGGCTGTTTGATTCTGAACTGTGCATCCAAGTAACAATAGTTTGCATTGAAGTAAAGCTGAAAAGACTCCATATCATTACAATCCTCATGACTTTGCTCAATCTCTACTAAAAACATTCCCTTTGATGCTCAGACAAGCTGGATGCCTTTCTAAAGTTTCTTATTTCGGTAATTCTGTCACTACTTCTCAGTATAGTCAATCTTAACCCATTGCTGTTTACAATTACTCTTCTTTTTCCCAAGCTCAGTTCTCTAAAATATCTGGCTTTTAGTTTGAGTTTGAAGATTACAGAAAAATCACAAGGAATCTCCTCCGGGCACATGCCTAGAGGGTAATAAATCAATGTAGCAACTCAGCAGTGTCAGCAAGTTGTAGGAGAACTACTAACAGACAGAAAATTGATTACCAACACAATCATTTTCCCTACTTAAGTTCAGCTTCACATTAAACTATTTCTACCACATGTAACTACACATAGCATTAAAATGTTAGGTCGTTAGGACTTAAAGGAAATAGGAAAGCATCTTGGACACAGATCAAGTCTTTATCCTGGAAGAGTTTCTGAAGAAGGGTCTAGACCCAAAACGTCAGCTTTCCTGCTCCTCTGACGCTGCTTGGCCTGCTCTGTTCATCCAGCTCTACAGCTTGTTATCTCTTTATCCTGGAAGAATAGTTTCCTCACTAATCTGATGCTGCTGTGTTCAACACTAAGTACATTACAGTGAGATGGCCAGCCCCAGTCAGCTGTTTGCGCCTTTGACATTGCAATATTTAAACAGGACTCTCACAATAGATCTCAACTATTGTGGGATTAAACTGAAAACAGCATAGCAGGATAGACACAGGAAGTTATTTAAAAGCAGAAGCAGCTGAATAGACTAAAAAACCATTCAAAATCATCCCCAGGATTCTGGAGAGGTCACCACTGAACTAATAAACTTTTCGCAAATACAAATAAGCTAGCTGAAACTCTGTAGAACTGAGAATATGCAGGAACTCCAGCTGGTGTGAGGACGCAAAGTTTGGTGAACTGGAGTTCATCTGTCATTCTTGTCTTATCAGGGTGTGTAGGTTTCTTTTAGCATTTCAAAATTCTGCCCACAAAACTAAATGTCACTTTGAGAGAATAAATACAACCATTACTTATGGCTCCGAGTAGCTTTCACTTTTATTTACAAGCATGTCTGAATGTTATTGGAGCTCTTTGGCACAGTTGTAAGTGTCTCTCACTGTCCATCAAATTGGGCAAAAATCCACAAATGAAGAATTTACTTGACGAATTCTGAAATGTCTCTTTAAGCACATGCAATTAAAAGCCAGAAGACAGCAGATTACAGAAGAGGCTCTTGTAGTCTAGTGGTAGTTCCCTATCTCTGGGCCTGGAGGCCCGGGTTCAACTTCCATCGGCTCTAGACGAGTGTAATAACATTTCTGAACACGTTAAATAGAAAATATCCATAGCATATGAAGGTTATGTTTCAACGAAATTCTCAGCTCAAGTCTTGAAAGTGATATGGGGCTTGCAAATTGAATGATAGCCACGCTGCCTACAGAATCACAATGATATTAATATAGGATTTGGGAGGTGATGTTGCAGCTCTGCAGGACAATGGTTAGGCCACTATTTGAACATTGCATGTAATTCAGGTCTCCCCCCCAAAGGAAAGATGCAGTGAGACTTGAAAGGGTTCAGCAAAGTTTTACAAGGATATTGCCAGGGTTGGAGGGGTTCAGCTTTAGGGAAAGATTGAATAGGTTGGCACTATTTTCCATGGAGCACGGAAGATGAGAGGTGACCTTATAGAAGTTTATAAAATCATGAAAGGCATGGAAAGGGTGAATCATCAAGGTCTTTTCCCCAGGAAAGAGGAGTCCAAAACTAGAGGGCACAGGTTTAAAGTGAGAGGGGAAAGATTTAAAAGGGACATGAGAGGCAAATTTTTCATGCAGAGGGTGGTGCATGTATGGAATGAGGTGCCAGTGGTGGTGGTGGAGGCTAGTACTATTACAACATTTAAAAGGCATCTGGATGGGTATTGAATAGGAAGGGTTTAGAGGGATATAGGCCAAATGCTGGCAAACGGAACTAGATTAATACGGAGTATCTGGTCGGCATGGACAAGTTGGACTGAAGGGGGTATATCCATGCTGTACAACTCTATGACTCCAGTAACAAAAGAGGTAGCCTGAAATGACCAGTCACCACAATCTATCACTGACTTGAAGCTGACCAATCACTTCTCAAGTAGTGGGGACTTTGTATAAGCCAAAAATATTCTGCAAAACTTGGAACACACGTGTTCACAGGAAGAGATTGATGCTGCTTTATACTGGATAGTGACTAATTTAATTATACGGCAATAATGCTGTAATAGTACTGTCAGGTACTGACTCTCAGGCAACCTCAATGCAGAGGCGAACCATTAGGAACCACCTAGTTTTTTAAACGAGGTCTGGTGGCAGCCTAACCCTGCTACTGGGAGTACCTGCACCAGATCCACACACTTTGGAAATGACATTAAAACACCCCACAATGTAAAGATAGCAAAAATCACTCATCTCCTGGCACTGAAACAGCGCAAGTCATAAGCTGACCAAATATGGGCCAACACTTGATGGTTAACACTTGATAGAATGTCATTAACCTGGAATGTTAACCTTATCTTCCTTGCTCTAAAGCTGGTGCCTGACTTGCCGAGCATTTCTGGTGTTGATTCAGTTTCAGATTTCCAACAACCAGCAATATTTTGCTTTTCATTTGAATCCTGGAGAAATTAAACAAATTCAATCGCAGTCTATTGATAATGCAAATTTACGTCAATGATACGGTCACGGAAATTTTCAGCACTGAATTCCTATTTTGCTTTCTTAGCTGCAATGTTAAATTCAAAGCACTGGATAATTAAAAAGCAAAACAGACATAACATGTAACGTTTAAACAGATTTCTAATTTGCTAGTTGGGAAGTTGCACCTGCAGAGGGGATAGGTTTTCAGACAGTAATACTGATAATAGATGAAACAACATCAGTCAGATCTCTGGTAAATCTTACAGATGGGCAGGAGAAGGAAAGATAGAGAGAAAAGTCAGCAATCAGCAGCCAGCCAACAGGCCCAGAAGACATTCAGCCTACAGCCATAACACCAAGGCGGATGAATTGATGGTTGGTGGAATATCTGCTGAATATCTGGAACTGCCAGCTAATCTGTGATAGTCCCCATGGAGTCACAGTTCTGTAGGAGGCACTGACAAAAATGCAGACAGGGCCACAAAGGGGGCTATACAGACTCTGAAGCAAGTCAGATAGATTTGGGTAAGGGGAAGCAAAAGAAAGGGGTTAATATCTTCTCAAAGGATAACCCAATAGGCAAAAGACATCTTCCCACAAAGATCAGCATCCACATATCCTCTGTACATTGGCAATAAGAGGGAGCATGATTGGCCAGCCATCTAACCCAAAAAACACAATATCCAGTTCCAGGAAACAAACTTCTACATACATTTCACAAACTGTAACATCTGTTATCATTGGTAGCATAACGATGAACGTTAAATTTCTGCAAGTGCAAAAAACACTTTTCAGATGATGCCCTTCCAAAGCTAGGGCTGAGAGGTTACGTGACTGTCAATCATAGTGGCACTAACTTAAAATGTTGAATTAATAGGGCACTGGCTGAAATGTATTCCTTCAGCGTGGTACCCTTATGCAAACCTATCAACAGCATTCTTCACAAGGCAGTGTGCCAACACACCACAAGCCTCAATTCACAAACAGACAAAGATGAATTACTCAAAAATTACATTCCAAACCCTCAGCGATGGCCATCACAAAATCAGTTTCTTTTTAATTAACAATTTTGTTTTGGATTTGCAGAAGAATAAAGGGAGATAGTGATTGCCCAGACGATTTTATGCAAGTAATCTAACGTGGGATGTCAATCATCATGACCAACAGGATATCGCTAAAATTATTTGGCCACGTATTTTATCCTTCCCATGAAATCCAGTCAGCATTATCGAGCATGCACGCTCTTACAAAGGAACAGTTATCCTTTCCAGTTGAACTACGTGCCAAACATCTACCCACCTGCAAAATATAGTCAGACACCCGTTTATCTCTCTCTCTCACCATCGCCTCACAAAAAAAAAGTGGCTACACATCTTTCTCCCCTACCCTCAAATTATAACCAGATATCTTATCCCCCCAAAAAACACTGGCTGGACATCTCTCTCTCTCTCTCTTCCTTGCCCCCACCCAAAACGTAAGCAGGCATCCCCCTTTCTCTGCATTCCCCACCCCATAAAAAAGTGACTACACATCTCTCTCTCTGTCCCCCCTACTCCCAAAACATGGCTAGGCTCTCTCTCTCTCTTCCCTGCCCCCACACGTCCCCCAAAACTGAGTCCAGACATCTCTCTCTTTACCCCACCCATGGTTGTAGTGATGGTGAGAAGGGTGAGCTCTGGGTGTGTCACTCACAGTAATGTTGGGTGATAATTTACAAGCGGGTTTTGTTTCTAACGAGGGGGATGGGGATCGGGGATCGGGGATCGGGGATCCGGGATCCCGGGGGGGGGGGGGGGGGGGGGGCACTCACCATGGCGAAACCCGACAGGAGAGCGGATGTGCGGCTCGATGCTTTGAGCTTGGCCCGGCTGAGGTAGAGTTTTCTCCAGGAGAGAGCCTGCACCGAGTGGTGGTTCGAGGAGACCAGCTCCAGGTAACTGCGCCTCACCCAGTCCCGGTAATCAGCCGCCCCGGCTTCGGGCTCCGAGCACGGGGGAGCGGGCGAACCGGCCGGCGCTGACCGCTCCGAGCTCATGGCTTCACCGCCGGCCAACCGTCGCCCGGAGACCTGGGGCAGATCAGCGATGGAGAAAGGCGCGCTCCCGACCGCCGGCACAGCCACACGCGCGCGCTCGCGCTCCTGTACTGCGCACTCCCGCTGCCAGGGGGCGAGCGCAACTCCATCCGCGGCCGCCATCGCGCATGCTCGTGGGAACCTCATTGAGGCAGATGCTGCCATTGGGGTTCATCGATGGTCGTTACTGAACACGTATGTAGGATCAGTGGTCAGTACTGAACATGTATGTAAAATCAGTGGTCAGTACTGAACACGTATGTAGGATCAGTGGTCAGTACT